ATGGGGGGACTACTGCCACTGCTGGCTTGCTGAGCAACCTTTGCAAAGCCAGCAGGCCAAGGCACTTAAGGGAGCCCACTCCTGCCCCAGCCCTGGAATGATCTGTAGGCAAGGCAAGGGCCCCCAAAGGGACACTTGAGTGCCTGTATACAAATGCCAGAAGCTTGGGGAATAAACAGGAGGAACTTGTCCTCCTGCTTAACACAAATAATTACAATGTCATAGGGATAACGGGGACCTGGTGGGACTCCACCCATGACTGGGCCACAGGTATAGATGGCTATACCCTGTACAGGAGAGATTGAGTGGACAAAAGGGGCGTGGGTGTAGCTCTCTATGTCAAGGAAAGCTACACATCCCTGCAAGCCAACACTGGTGCTCAGGATGAATGACTGGAGACCCTCTGGGTTAAAATCCATGGGGAGTATGGCACAGGGGACACAATGGTGGGAGTCTACTACAGACCTCCCACCCAGGATCAAGAGCTTGACCAGGAGTTTGCCAGGGAATTGACTGAGCCTGCATGCTCCCAGTGCATGGTTGTCATGGGAGACTTCAACTACCCAGACATCTCATGGGCCAAATCCAAATAAATGGTCACAAAGTTTCTCTTATGCATGGATGAGCTCTTACTCAAGAAGTCTACGGGCCAACGAGAGGTAAAGCACTGCTCGACCTGGTACTGGCACTGGGAGACAACCTAATCTGTCACCCAGCTTCACTTTGATCATTAGGTCACTGTGACCATGAGCTGATCACTTTCACCATCCACCGTAAAGCTGGCAAGTCCAGTACAGAAGTCTTCGACTTCAGGAAAGCTGACTTTGACAAGCTAAGAAGGCTTGTCAGTGATGCCCTAAAGGGCCACGACCCAAAGGGGACGGGAATTTAAGATGAGGGGTTGCTCCTCAAGGGAGCGATCCTGGAAGCACAAGCAAAGTCTATCCTGTCTCAAAGGAAAGGCAGCAAAAGGGCACAGCAGCCCCCTCGGCTCTGCAGGGAACTAGTGGATCTCCTGCATCTAAAAAGAAAGATCTACAAAGCATGGAGGAATGCATCCACCTCCGAGGAGGAATATTTTGCACTGGTCCGGACCTGCAAGGAGTGAACCAGGAAAGCCAAGGCTGTGACTGAACTCCAACCAGCTACAAGTATCAAGGACAATAAAAAGTCCTTTTTTAAATATGTGGGGAGCCAGAGGAAAAGCAAGGGTAACATTGGACCCATGCCAAACCAGATGGGACAACTGACAACTGATACCCAGGAAAAAGCACTAGGACTATGGAAGAAAGAGACTAGGGGGTCATCATTGACCACAAGATGAACATGAACCTGCAATGCGATGCTGCGGCTAGTAAAGCGACCAAAACGCTGGCTTGCGTCCATAGATGTTTCTCAAGCAAATCTCAGGATGTCATTCTCCCCTTGTACTCGGCCTTGGTGAGGCCTCAGCTGGAGTACTGCATCCAGTTTTGGGCCCCACAATTCAAAAAGGATGTGGAGAAGCTTGAGAGAGTCCAGAGAAGAGCCACGCACATGATCAGAGGTCAGGAAAACAGACCTTATGACAACAGGCTGAGAGCCACAGGGCTCTTTAGCCTAGAAAAGCGCAGGCTCAGGGGTGATCTGATGGCCACCTATAAGTTTAATCGGGGTGAACACCAATATCTAGGGGAACATTTGTTCACCAGAGCGCCCCAAAGGTTGATGAGGTCGAATGGTTATAAACTACTGCAAGACTGTTTCAGGCTGGACATAAGGAAGAATTTCTTAACTGTCCGAGCCCCCAAGGTCTGGAACAGCCTGCCACCGGAGATGGTTCAAACACCTACATTGAACACCTTCAAGAGCAAATTGGATGCTTATCTTGCTGGGATCCTATGACCCCAGCTGACTTCCTGCCCTTTGGGCAGGGGGCTGGACTCTATGATCTTCTGAGGTCCCTTCCAGCCCTATATATGAAATCTATGAAAAAGCAAACTTGCTAAATGGGTACTTTGCATCAGTTTTTTACCAGTCCCAAGGCATGCCCCTGCTCATTATGTGATGGGAAGGCCAGGGTGAGAGAGATTCCTTACCCTACATCAGTGCTGACCTTGTGAAGGAACACCTTGAGAGGCTGGATACCTTCAAGTCAGCTGGCCCTGACAGTTTACACCCCAGGGTACTCAAGGAGCTCGCAAACATCATAGCTCGGCCCCTGGCATGGATCTTCAAGAACTCCTTGATGCTCTGGTGAAGTGTCCAAAGATTGGAAGAAGGCCAATGTGGTGCCTATCTTCAAGAAAGGGAGGAAAGTGGATCCGGCAAACTACAGGCCCATCAGCCTGACTTCTATCCCAGAGAAGGTCTTAGAAAATATTATCATAGAGACCTTCTTAACAGACTTGACAGACTTAACAGACTAGCTGATGGCAACATCCTGAGGGATACCCAGCACGGGTTTGTTGCAGGTGAGTCTTGCTTGACCAATCTTATTTCCTTTTATGACCAGCTGACCTAACCCCTGGACAAGGGACAGGAGATTGATGTCATATATCTTGACTTCAAAAAATTCTTTGTAGTATCGCATGATCACCTCTTAGCAAAACTGGCCAACTGCAGCCTCAGCTTCACCACAATCTGCTGGCTGAGGAATTGGCTCTGTGGTAGGACCCAGAGGGTGGTACTTGACGGAAGTCAATCGTTGTGGTGTCCTGTGACCAGTAGGGTCCCTCAAGGCTCTGTCCTTGGGCTTACACTATTCAACATCTTCATTTAATGATGTGGACACTGGTGTCAGAAATGGACTGGCCAAGTTTGCCAATGACACCAAACTTTGGGGTAAAGTGTCCACACCTGACTACAGGAGGGCGATCCAGGCTGACTTTGACAGGCTCAGGAAATGGGAGGACAAGATCCTGATGGTGTTCAACACTGAAAAATGCAAGGTCCTCCACCTTGGGAGGAAAAACCTGTAGCATGCTTATAGGTTTGGCAGTGTTACACTGGCGAGCACTATGGACAAAAGGGACTTGGGGGTCATGATTGACCACAAGATGAAAATGAGCCACCAATGTGATGCTGCGGCTAGTAAAGCAAGCAAAACACTGGCTTGCATCCATAGATGCTTCTCAAGCAAATCCCAGGATATCATTCTCCCCTTGTACTCGGCCTTGGTGAGGCCTCAGCTGGAGTACTGCATCCAGTTTTGGGCCCCACAATTTGAAAAGGATGTGGAGAAGCTTGAGAGAGTCCAGAGGAGAACCACACATATGATCAGAGGTCAGGAAAACAGACCTTATGAGGAGAGGCTGAGAGCTATGGGAGTCTTCAGCCTGGAAAAGCACAGGCTTAGGGGTGATCTGGTGGCTGCCTATAAGTTTTTAAAAGGAGTGCTCATCAGGATCTGGGGGAACGTCTGTTCACCAGAGCGCCCCAAGGGATGACAAGGTCAAATGGTCACAGATCTCTCTGTGACTGTTTCAGGCTTGACATAAGGAAGAATTTCTTGATTGTCTGAACCCCTGAGGTCTGGAATAGACTGTAGGTGGTTCAAACACCTACACTGAATACCTTCAAGAGAAATGTGGATGTTTATCTTGCTGGGATCCTATGACCCCTGCTGACCTCCTGCCCCTGGGACAGGGGGCTGCACTTAAAGGTCTTCTGAGGTCCCTTCCAGCTCTAATGTCTACGAAATCTATGAAACTGTGCACCAGAATGAACACACACTGAAAATCTATCAAAGACAAGAATACCCAGCTACCTTTGTGGACACACTTCTCACAGGACAATCACTTCCTCTCCAATTTCTCAGTCTTAATCCTCAAAGGGAACTTAAACAAGACACCTTCCATAGATAAGCCTACGTACTTCACTTCATAAATCTACTGGATACAAAAAATCATGGAATCAATACAGACATTGGATTTATGGCACATTACAACCTGCCTGACATCGGATTCCCCAGGTACCTGCCAGACCTGACCTCTTACATTTTTTCTTTTTCCCCTATCTCTTCTCCCCTACTTTTCTGCCCTTTGTCTTCCTAATTTCCAGCTATTTCCTTTTTCACCAACAATCTCTATTCTAACTTGTATTGACTTTTTTCCCCTGCTTTGCCTTTTGTTTTCGTAATATCTACTTATTTACATTCTCACTGAAATCCTGCCACACTTTTAGCTTCTTTCATTCCTTAGAGTCCCGAACAGCACAATCTCCCTATGCCCAAGGAGGTGATTGCTCCTGAAAGCTTGCTAAGAACTTTTTTCCAACTACTCAGTTGGTCTAATAAAAGATATCATATCGACTCAAAGAACCTTGCCTGACTAAAGAGAGAGAACTTTTTAACTGATGAAGACTGAGGTTGCTCTATTGAATTAAAACAGCTGAGGATGTGGCCTCAGATTGTCTAACCAATGCATTCAAAATCTGAAAGCAGTCTGATTGCTATAGTGGGGCCGGAGCATGGGGAGTTGTCCCATTTACCACTACAAATTGATCAGGAACAAATTCTTACTAAAAGACATTGCATTCATAATATTCTGAACAAATATGTTTTCAGACAGAAGTTTGAACTGTGTACAGAACACTTTTTAGACCAATGACTGACATAGGGCTGCTTTGGACAGTCCAGTTTATTCCATTAGCAAATGCTCAGTTCTTTTAACTCCTGTTTGCCTGTTCAGGGGTGGCCAGACTCTCTGTTTCTGTGGTGGGGGTGTTGTGGGGATAGGGTGCTTCTAGTGCTCATAGCTAAGATCAAAAGTGCAGAGCATTCATTAAAGGTTTCCAGTGCAAAAAAGGAGTTTTCTGTACAACCAAAAATAAAAACTCACTTGCAATACGTTAACAGAAGCAACCACAGACTTGGTTTGTGACAGGAAAATAGCCTGCAATGGGGGGCTAGCAGAAGAGGTTGGTTTTTCGCACCTTTTTAAAAAAAAAATGCCTTTCTAAAATTTTCCACCTCTACTCACTGCACCATGATGCTCCTTTTACTGTCTGCTGACCACTGAATGACAATATATAAGTTTGAGGACAGGGGTTCAGATTATTACTTTCTCCTCTGTCGCTGTATGAAGCATTCAGCAATGAAGCTCCACATCATGGCTGTCCTGGTCATTCTTTGCCTTGGCATCTTCACCATGCACACAGCAACAGGTGAGTTTTCAGCTCTGTAGTTATGTAGGAATTGTCATATGATTTCAACACAAGGGTCTATCTAGTTTAGTGACCTGTCTTAGAGAGTGCCCAGAATCAGATGCTTAGAAACCCCATAATGAAATAATTTATCAACTGTGGACTTTTTTTCCCTAACTAGTCTCAGTATGTGGCTGGCTTATGCTATGAAGCTGGGAGGGTTTCTGTTCCTCACAAATTTTTTATGCTATCTTTATTTCACTCTGGATGCTCTCTTGTCATGTCAACATCTAATAAATCTGTTATGACAACAAGTTCCACTGATCAGTTGTCTTGTATAAATAGGGGGCATGTCTACATGAGATACTTACTACTCAGTAGTATGCCAGTCAAACTATGCTAATACACTAGTTTTTTTCACCATTGTTAGGCTACTTTTAATTAATACTTAATTAAGGAAGTACTAAACTAAATGTACAGTAACTACTATGCATTAATGAATGTGTAGATGCACCCCACTATGTTCTTCACTTAGTTTTAGTTGCATTGTCTTTCAGTGTTGTTGGCTGTGCCCTTGTAAAGACATTATGAAAAGTGTTAAATAATAGCTCTGGGTTTTCTCCTCTAAATTACTATGAGATTATATCCTAATTACATGCAATTATACGTATATTAGATTATTTTTATGTCCCTTTAGTTTAGTATGTCACTTTTTATTTGTCTCTTGTCTGACTTGTCTAGTCCTACTCCTTAATCACTGACTATAGGTAAGGATTTTCAGCAGCCTAAGTATTTTCTTTCCCCTGGTGTTTCTATTAAATCTGTTTGCAAAATGTTGACTAAATGGGAAAACAGCACTTGTAGATAAAGCATCCATTGATTTTACACAATGTCACTCAGTCACATTATCCATTCTTTTCTTAATCAAGTTTAAGATTTCACGGAAGATTTTTTTATGACAGTGGCTGCATATTGACCATAGTTTTTATGTGGGCTATCCATGATGATGCTTAGATCTTTATCTTATTAACCACAAGCAATTAGTAGGTCATGTGGCGTTTGTAACAGACTATGCTGATTTCAGAAGCTTGTATGCACACACAAGCAAGTGCATATACAAATATGCACACTTTCATACAAAACACAAGCCCCAAAATCAGATGCACAAAATACTTATACAGGAGAGTCCAAACACCAGGAAGTCCACAAAATGCAATCCATCCCTCCCCTCTCCCCATCCCCCTTCACATTTGTTGCTACTCTTGGCATGTAGAACAAGGGGACAAAGACCAGCTTGACATCACAGCACTCTTGCTTGTGATGATGCAGGTATGAGCTGGGATTGCCTGCCAACAACCCCACCTTTCCAGGAGGCCTAATTTGCCATGTAAATGTTGCCCACATGTAAAACATTATGTAGGAGAGAAGTGCAAAGCAGAGGTTTTCTAAGCAGGCCAGGTAGCACTTGCCCCATCTAGAGAGAGGGGATTGTGGGGCTGATGACAAAACTGCCCAGGGAAGCTAAGATACAAAAAGACCTGAGGATGGAGTGAGGGAGTAGGCACAATCAGAGGACTTTCCAAGAGCAGATGAACAGAAAGGAGAAAAGGAAAGATGAGTCCCAGGCAAGCTCCCTGCCACTTTTAATTCAACTGATGCATCCTTCATCGCCAAGTAATTTGTAAAGGTCTGCACCTTGTTCATTTTACCAACCACTGAAATGAAGTCATTCTTGGGAACAAAGTGGTGGTTTAACACAGCGGCAATGAGTTTACATAGCAGTTTAGTGCAGGCTGTCAGGACTAATGTACCCAACTGAAAGGCCATTTCTAGAGGGAGAATACAATTCTTATGTTCTGGTGAGTGTGGAAGCTTGTTTATTTATGGATCTCATATGGTTGGGATCTTGGCCACAAGACTCTCATGAATGATGCATCCCTTAGCAAATAAGCCTAGGAGGTACCTCAGTTGTAATTTAACAAGCCATTTGCTATAAAGAATTACTATTCATTTAGGGTTAATTAGTCATCTCCTCTTTTTCATTTTAGGAAGTATGAATACTGAAATTTTTAGAAAAAGCTCCTGTATAGAACTGTCAACAAAGAAGCTGAATGTCAAAAGGCTTATTGGTTATAAAAAGCAAAACATTCCAATAAAAGCTGTGATGTAAGTATGTGATCTAGTCTTCATTTGCAAACTAATTTAGAGAAACACTCTGCCCTCCCCATGGAGAGAGAGAGAAAGTCAGTCGAACATGAAACCCTTATTTTATATCCCACATAAAATCTTCCTTGGAGACCTTAGAAAGGTCTGAAATATTTGTCCTGTAGACTTGAGCATACAGAAGTTGAACTGAATGGCCAAAACCTTTTTGTTTTGGACATTGGGAAGAAGAGTCAGAAAGAGAAAGAAAAAAAAAAAAAAAAGGTGTTGTGAGTACTACAGATTAGAATAGCTTGAGGTATTGCTGGTCAGTACTCCAGTGAACTGGGCTGCGTTGTGCACAAGAGGTTTGTGGAAGAGCTGGAACTAATGATGACTCCTAAAGAGCGGTCATTATCAACCTTTTTAGACTTGAGACACCCCTTGTTAAACTTGAAGCACCCTCAAAAGTGCGAGCGCTTGGTTTTTCTTCATTTTGACTAGAGAAAACTATGAAAGCAATGCATCTGTTGTAAAAGCTCAGAGATAACACAACAAGTCAAAATGGTTTTAACACTATGGATTCCTGTTTGACACTTCCAGGTTTGTCTTGTGAATTATGTAGGTGTTGGCATCCCCAGCACCCTTATAAGGGTTTTTACTTAAGAATCACTGTCTGAAAAGAGGTAATCAATCTCGTGAGAATCTATTAAACACAGATTTGGTCCCTGTGCACTAAATGTGGGGCTCTATTTTCAAAGAAGCTCCACATGCTGGGTGTGCTTTGCTCTTTTGGAAAGTCTAGAAGTACAGCACATGCATAGGTACATATAGCAATTCACATTATTTATACACACACCCCAATCTATATGTAAAGCTGGAGTCCATTCACTAAACTGCAGAACCAACACACAGCTGGTTTTTACAACTCATTACTAATGTGACTGCTCAAACTTACACCAGTAAAACCTTTTCAGCACATCACATCCTCACCTATTCCACGCAGAAACGTGCACATGTGGTCTGGATGTGGAGACAAGAAGTCTCATGTCTCTCTGCCTTTCCTTTTCTTCCCCTTCAGGTTCATCACCAAAACAGGCAACAAGATCTGTGTGAAGCCTGATCTCAAATGGGTGAAGGATGCCATGACACAGTTGGATAAAAAAGGTGTCACCGCAAGACCCACCACAAAAATCAAGGTTTCCAGCAAGGACTGCTGATAGATTTATTTATTCATAAGAGGAAAGGAAAAGACCCCGGATGTTGCCAGTCTGTGGGACTCGCTGCTAAAAATGGTCAGAGGAGCCAGCATGAGGGCTGGATTTGAAAAAACATACTGGATAATATCATAGTGATGAAAAGCTACTTATACTATAAATAAGCAAAGGCATCCTTCAATAAGTGCAACGTGTGGGGTGCAATTTTCTGCCCTTCTGGTCTCCTATATAACGTGGCATGATTAACTAGTTTTTTCTGATTCTCCCCTCACTTTATAACAATGTAAATAAACAGAGACACGTCTCCTTCTGATGTAAATTGTGCTATCTATATTATTTAAGAGATTTACTTTGGTGAAGGATCAGGCCTGTCAACATCAGTGAAGTTACTGCTCATTTACACAAGCCTGAGAGAGAGCTGAGATGCACATTTTTATTTTTACTTTCTTGCAAAGCATCAACATAAGTGACATCAAATGCAGCCATTGCTTATATGTACCAAATTAATTCAGAGCCTTATGCAATGGAACTGGTTATATTCTGTGTAAATGTGAAGTATATTTAAATAATTGCTTGAATGTAATAAACGTAGAGTTTTTTGTACATTAATAAAACTCTTGTAAACCTTCAGTCAAATGGTCTATTTGTTTGCTTATACATGACCTCATGACCTTGTTGGACTGCATAGGAGAGAACGTCTCCATTCTCACACAAGTCCAAGGTCCTAATGTCACATCAGGAAATATTTCCTTTCCAGAAGCATGTAGCAAAACCTCCAAATGCTTACAGCCTAGGATAGTTAAGTATTTAAAATATTGGATACATAGATTCCCTACATTATGGAGATAATATCACATCATTATCAAGCCTGAAATCCAGGCTTCATCTTATTTAACTCTGCAAAAGCCTTTCAGCCCCAGCATCTCCTTTTCTGCTGTCACATAGTCCAGGAGACAAAACAACATGTATTTTTGACCATCCCTGACAGCAAGTCTAAACATGAACCTGCTGTCCAGATATGAAGACAGGTCAGATCATCCCTATGCAACACTGCAAGTTAGAACCACCCTTTCTGTTTCATACCCATTATGCCAACCCTGCTGCCCCAGAAACTGGCAGGAAAAACAAATGTGAGTTCCCACTTTTACATAGAAAATCACAGGGTCACTAGCCAACAAAACAAAGGGAGGGAATAGTCAAAAGTTAAAGAAACATCAATGCTGTGGTAGCATTCTTAGCCCTTTAATTTCCTCCCCATACCTCTGGAGGTGTCCCCAAACAAGCCTTTAGTCCCTAGAGTGCTCAAAGAGTAGTCTGCAGCTGCCTCCAAGTGGGAGTCCAGCTTCTTCAGTCCATGGTCCTGGCAGACCGAGTCAGTGAGATCTCCAGCTCCACTGGGTGCTCCTGTGTGCAAGGCTGACCAGATTCCAGGTGCACGCTGCTCTCTCTTCTCCTTGCTGCAGCTGCAAGCTTCCTCTTCTTTTGTATGCAGGACTTATTGCTCATCCTTAATGGCACTTACAGGCAGGCAGGCCCTGCTCATCCTTAATGGCACTGACAATTAGGTTTTTTTGGGAATTAATGTTAGTGTGAGGTTACTGGTGCAAATCAGCTCCTGGTGATCAGTAATTAATCTCCCAGGACTGCCTCACTTCAGTTAGCCTTAATCACTGTTTATACCAGGCCTTTCACCTGTTCTCACTCCTCTTGCCACATGTCCAGTTGCAAGTTCTTTCTGCCTATGTTGCCATGTGCACCCAGGGGGTTGATGATAGATAACCACTTTGGCCTTCGACATTTTCCTTCAGAGGCTCTCAAGGGACCTTATCAAGGATTATCTTAATTTTATAGGAAGGGAAACCAGGACACAGAGTTTGAGTGGGTTGTAGCCCTGTATCACTCTACACAGCAGCAGTAACTGGGTTTTGCTGTAGATCTGAGGTCATTTTGCCTTGTGGATGTTTCTGGGAGGGCCACCTCATTTCAGGTTATGTATCATACTTGTGCTGAACAGGAAGCCTTTCCAGTGCCTGTAATGGGAGAGGAATAAGGGTCCTTAGAGAGGACTGCCTGGAAGTCTTGGCATTGAATGAAGCATACTATAGCCAGCCAAGCTTCCTGAATCTTCTGCCCTCAGCCTTCCACTCTGCCAGCAAGACTTTTATTACCAAGCTTATTGTAGCAGTAATTTTCTAGCATGCTCAAAATTGGTGCTTCTAATGGAGAACAGAGGACTGCTGCAGTTGTTTTAAGCAGGTACAAAACAGAAATGTTGGCGCTAACCTGCAGTGGTGCATAGAAGTGGTCAACCCATTTTTTCATATATGGACAGCAGCTTGACTTTCTGATCTGTTGTCTGAGCTGATCAAAAATGTATGTTATTCTCTCATTTGGACAATGCAGAGAATGATGAAGAATGAAACTAGGGCTGAAGGCTTTCTGTAGAAAAAGGAGGGAAGGATCTGTCCATCTTGGTTTTCAGCCATGATAAGATACTATTTCCATAACATGGGGTTCTACGATTGTGTGCATAACTTTCTAAGACTATAAGAACTTGGAGGGGTTGCCACATGTTTCTGCAAAAGTAGTTTTTCCTGGTGTGACATTAAGATCATGGATTTGTGTTAGAATGGCAACATCCCTTTGTAGGATCTCCAACCAGGTCATAAATAAACAAGCAGACCATCTGACTGAAGGTTTACAAGATTTTTATTAATGTCCGAAAAGTCCATGAATTATTAGAATTAATCCATCTTAAAATGAAATTAACATTTACAGAGAATATAACTATTTCCATTGCACCAGCCTCTGCATTAGTTTGGCCTTGAGAATGTTCTATACAGGATTGAAATACATAAAATACAGCAATTGCTTAAATTTTAACGCTGCATAAAAAAGCAAAGATAAAAACAAAGTGCTCATCTCAGATCTATCTCAGACCAGTGTAAATCAGCAGTAACTTCACAGAAGTTGGCAGGCCAGATCCTTCCTCTTCATAAATCTATATAGAAATCCCCTGAATAAGTGCACATTTAGTCAATTCACATTTGAAATCAACCCAAACCAATATATTTGCACTGTTAGAAAGCGAGAGGAGAATCAGACCCGGCTAGATCATCACATTATGTTACAAAGAAGAATAGAAGGGCAGACAACTGTATCCTGCACATTGCAATTAGCACCTGATGGGCTGAAACATACTTTGCTTACTTGCTTAAGTACTTTTTCTACCACTATATTATGCAGCACATTTTTCAAACAGGGCCCCAATGTCCTGTAACTTATTTCAGCAATGAGTCCCATAGACAGGCAACACCCTGCATGTTTTCCTTCCCTCTTATAAATAAAGACTTCTGTCATCAGTCTTTGACAGAAACCCTGTCAGCATATTAAAGGGCAGTCCATAGTCCGCCCTGATCAGAGAAAACTGCCCACACACAATCATAAATAATGAACATACTTTGCAGTAAATAAATCTGAGAACAATGTAGAAGAGTCCAGCTGCAGAATAAAACTGAATAGAGGAAGGTTCTGATCAGCCTGTGTTAGTTCAGAAACTTTATTATCAGTTACCAAGTAGGAGTTACAAGCAGTTGCTTATGGTTTCAGTGGCATCTCCATTTAGTTAGATGGCTTGGGTTTGGGTTTGGGTTTGGGCTTGGGCTTGGTAATAGTTCTTTTGATGACACGTCTTTGATCTAAGTATTTTATGGCTTGCTTCACCCATTTGAGTTCGGGCTCCACACAGATCTTGATGCCTCCCTTGGTGATGAACCTAAAGGAGAAGAAATGGAAATACAGACAGACATGAAACTTCTTGTTTCCAAGACAAGACCACATATACATGTTTCTATGTGGAATACATGAGGATGTGATGTGACAAAGTTTTACTGGTGTAAGTTTGGGGCGGTCACATCAGTAACGTGTCCTAAACCCAGCTATGAGTTGGTTCTGCAATTTAGCAAATAGACACCAGCTGTACTTATAGATTGGGGGGCGGGGGGAGGGTGTATAATAATGTGTATTTCTATATGTACTTCTGCATATGCTGTACTTCTAGACTTTCTGGAAGGGCTAAGAACACCCAGCATATGGAGGTTCTTTGACAATATGGCCTTGCGTTTATTGCACAAGGACCAACTCTAATTCCTATAGGAGTTTTATTACTCCTATCTCTTCCACAAATTTTCTTGCATACCTCACCCCAATGTAGTGACTGGTAACCCACAAGGCTATACTAGTCTATGACACTCAAAACACTTTTTGCTTTCTGACATTTCTTCCTAATTTTTAGAACAAAACGTTTTGCTGTTTGATACATTTTTGCATAAGCAGCTCTACAGCACCAGTACTCCAGACATTTTGACATTGCCTAATGAAGCTTTCATATGAGATATCAAGTAAGCATGCTCATTCAGATATATAACCCCTATGCTTGCTTTGAGTCAGTTTTACTGACTTTCTTTCTTCTCTTAATGGGGAGGGCAGAATGTTTCTCTAGATGAATTAGCAGATGAAGACTGGACCACATACTTACATAACGGCTTTTACTGGTATGTTTTGATTTTCATAATTGGCAAGCCCTCTTATGTCTAGCTCCTTTGTTGATAGGTTTATGCAGGAACTTCTTCTTATAATTTGACTTCCTACACTCCCTAAAATGAAAAAAAAAGATGGTAAATTACCAGTAGTACTAAAGAACAGTGATTCTTTACAGCAAGTGGCTTCCTAAATTACAACTCGGGTACCTCTATGCTTATGTATTGGATTGCCTTAGCTAAGCCTGCCATACATGCATCATCCTTGTGAGTTATAGAGCAAAAATCCTAATCATATGAGATCCTTGAATAACCGAAGCTTCTCTCTGGGAGTAGATATCCTGGGCAAATTCAACTGCATGTAAACAATTACATTCTCCCTTCCTAAAAGGCTTTTTAGTTGGACACACTAGTCCTCACACTCTGTAAAAAAAACTACCACATAAACTCATTGCCACAATGTTAAACCACCAATAGCAGGGCGGGGCTGGCCTGTCCTATTCTGCAGAACCTGCAGCCACAGGGGGGCCTGCAGCCAAGGGGTTGTGTTCTGCTCGCCCCCCACCGCCTGGGCCACGTTTAAAGGGTTCAGTGCAGGCAGGGAGCCCCTTCCCGGCCAAGTGGGGGAGGAGTTCCTGGCTCTGCTCTCGCCTCATTTCCAGAGAGGGAACTCAGGCATCCCCAGCACGTGCTGCCCCCACCCCACGCCCCCTGCAGCACAGCCCACGTGCACACAGCCTGGCCCTGACTATTTTATTTCAGTGAGCTTATACTGCAATTAACCTCAATTTGGATTTTTCAATGCATCAGGGGTCCCCAAAATATTGTGGGTCAGCCCTGACCAGTAGGTTCCCAACAGCAGCTTTATTTCAGTCGATTTTAGTCACAGCTGAAGAGAATTGGTTGCACAAGACTTGCAAACCATTTAAATTAAATTAAAATTCAATGCAATTAAAACTGGAGGGAGATTCTCTGGGAAACATCTTTCCTCTTCCCCTTTTCTATTCACTTGCCCTTAGAAAGCCCTTTGAAAGCACCTGCTCCCTCCCTCCATCCTTCCTCAGATCTTCTTTTGGTCTGCCATGGCAGGTTTGCCATCCACCCTGCAATCCCCTTCTTTTAGATGACAAAACATGCCACATGGTATGCTAACACCACCCTACCTTGCACTGCCCTTCTACACAGTGTCTCACCCGTAGGAACATTACGGGGCAGGGGAGAGTTTCTGGAAAGAAAGGATTTTGCCAATCCCAGACTTTAGGGTGGCCAAGTGGACCACTGTGATACTAAGGACTAGGAGCTCTTATCACATCAGTTGGTCTGTGTTGCAGGTATGTTATTTTGTTGGTGGGAGAAGAGGGAGGATGGATTGTATTTGGCTTTTATGTACTTGTGACTCTCCACATGTTTGTGATCCTGTGCTCCTCTTTGTGTATTATTGTCATTTTACAATAATACACAAAGAGGCTGAGTATAAGTGCTTTGCACGTGTGGTTTTTGGGCTTCTGCTTGTCTATGTATGTTGGTATACACACACACATGCATGTGTGTGTGCGTGTGGTTTTTCTACAAGTGTGGTCTTTTACAAATGTCACATGCTCTATAAATTGCTTGTAGTTAATATGTCTAAGCATTATTATGGATGGCTCATATAAAACCTATGCTCAATATGCAGCTATCGTCATAAAAAATCTTTAATTAGACCTTAAACTGTATTAAGAAAGGAATACAGAACAAAACTGAAAGCACCAGTGCCAGTGTGTAAATCTATGGTGAGCCTTATTCTTGGAAGCTTTGCTTTTCAGTCAACCATTTGCAAACAGATTTAGTAAAAACACAGGGAAAAAGAAATTTCTTAGAGGTTTGAAAAGCCTTCCTTACAGAATGCAATTAAAAGAGTAAGACTAGACAGGTAGGAGAGGAAACAAATAAGAAGTGATAAACTAATGGTGTATGTAATAATCCAATATATATTGAAGTACATAATAAGGATATAATATAGTAATTTAAAGAATATAAAACAGGAGCTGTAAGCATTATTAAGCCCTTTTCCTAATTTCTGAACAAGGGCACAACCAACACTGAAAGGCAATGCCACTGAAACTAGGTGAAAAACATGCTGTTTATACAAGGCACAACTGACCTGCGGAACTCAATGCCACAGCAGATTAAACATTGACATGGAAAGCGGGAGCATCCAGGACAATGCTAGACAGCAATAAAATTTTCTAGGAAAAAAAATGTTCTCCCAGCTTCAAGGCCTAAGCTAGCCACAAACTGATAGGGGTTAAGAAACACCCCCAATTAACAGATCATTTCATTATGTAATTTCTCACAGATTCCTCTTAAGTGACCAGTATTGGTCACTCCCTGAGAAAGGACACTGAATTAGACAAACCCCAGTCTCGTTATCGTTCGGCAATTCCTACATTCCTATGGAGATGAAAACTTACCTCTTGCTGTGTGCGTGGTGAGGATGCCAAGGCAAAAAAGGACCAGGATAGCCAAGTTGTAGAGCTTCATTGCCGAATACTTCACTCTGCAGCAGAGGAGAAAGTGATAATCTGAACCCCTGTCCCCACACTTATATACTGTCATTAAGTGGTCAGCACACTTCCTGCACTCAGTAAGAGGGGCGTCATGGTGGGGGTGAGTATAGGTGGAAAATTTTAGAAAGCAACTTTTTTTTTTTTAAATGAGAAAAAAATTCCCCTGTCCTGCTAGCCCCCCTCTGCAGGCTTTTTTCCTGTTGCAAACCAACTCTGTGGTTGCTTCTGCTAACACATTACAAGCGAGTTTTATTTTAGGTTGCAAAGAAAACTCCTTTGCTGCAGTGGAAACCTTTAATGAATGTTCTGCCCTTTCAGATCTCGGCTATGAGCCCTGGAAGCTAAACTCCACATCCCCACCACAGAAGCAGTCAGGCAACCCCTGAAGTGGGGAACATGAGTTAAAGGAGCTGAGGCTTTGCTAATGGAGTAAATTGAACTGTCCATAGCAGCTTTACATTAGTGGTGGCTCTAAAGGTTTCATAGAGTAGGTGTATTCCCTGTCTACTCTGGATTTGGCAGTGCTATTCAGCTCCCTCCTGATATACACAGAGCCCAGGTTAACGTCACCAGGTATTTGCAGCATGCAGCTGAACAGAAATACAGATTGACTCCTTAACCTGCAGAAAACTGGATATTTCATGAGCTTCTACACAAATCACCATTATCCCTTGTGAGAGAATCTGGCATACAGGCTGGAGCTAGCCTGACAGAGCCTGGGCCAACGCCAGGGCCATCACCATGACTGAATCTCTGCTGTATCTCCTGCTTCAAGCACGAGGTGAGAAGCATAGCTGAAGGGTGGTAGACAAAGCTGGTACAGGGATCATGCCAGTATAATTAAGGAGCCCAAGGAACCTAGCACAAAGGGGACAGAGAAATGAATGTCCTTCTTTTGGGCCCAGCCTACTGTGGGAGTAGACATTGTAACTAATGTTTAAGCACAGTGCTGATAATAGGGCTTTATGTATGGATGCTTTTCTTAAAATGGCCTCCCTCCCCTGCTCCTAAAACTCTGGTAGAGATCGCCGGCACAGATAAGCTGCCACCAGCTGCCAAAGGATCATACTTCTTGTTGGTGGGGCCAAAGATGCACAGAGATTAAATAATTTACCCACACTCATACAGAAATCTTCTGACAGAGCTGGACCTAGAGGATCTGAATCTAATGCTGGGCTGCAACCACATCACTGTCCTGTCTCCCAGCACCTCTTATAGTTGGAGGCCATGTTCTTTAACCTACAGGATTGTCCATTGTTCTTTGCACTTCAGGCTTTGCTGAACTGTGTCTACCTCAAACCCAGTGTAAGTCATTTACCCAGAGGCAAAGTGAGTATAAAGGAACTATGTGCTTATATAGCAGTACCATTCTGATGAGAGCATGCTACATCATAGAATCATGGAAAATTAGGGTTGGAAGCAGGGCTAGAAAAACAGGAGGGGGACTCAGGAGGGCTCACCCCGAAAGAGATGAGAGCCCCCCCACATAAGAGATGAGAGCCCCCAGCCCGCCCTGTGCCTTTCTAAGCAGTTCAGCCAGTGGTGGAGGCTCCTTTCAGCTTCTGGCTGCCATCGCTACAGACCTCCCCAAGAGTCCAAGCGTAATTTAAACACTGGTTGGAAGACACCTCAGGAGGTCACATCTAGTCCAACTACCTGCAAAAAGAAGAACTATCCCCAACTAGACCATTCCAACCAAGACATTGTTGAGTCAGGCCTTAAAAACCTCCAAGGATGGAGATTCCACCACCTCTCTGGATAACCCATCCCAGTGGTTCACCACTCTCCTAGTGACAAATTTTTTTCCCTAATATCCTACCTAAACTTCCCTTGCTGCAACTAGAGACTACTGTTCTTAGTTTTGTCATCTGACACCACTGAAAACAGTCTAGCTCCATCCTTTTTGTAACCACTCTTCAGGTAGTTAAAGGCTGCTATCAAATCCCACCTCAGTCTTCTCTTCTGCAGACTAAATAAGCATCAGAAATCATGTGCCCCAATCCCCTAACCAGTTTTGTTGCCCTCCACTGGACACTCTCCAACTTGTCCACAGCCCTTCTGTAGTGGGGGCCCCAAAACTGTACTCAGTACTCTAGATGTGGCCTCACCCATGCAGAATAGAGGGGAATAATCATTTCCCTTGATCTGCTGGCAGTGTTCCTACTGATGCAGCTCAGTATGCTGTTAGCCTTCTTGGCAACAAGGGCACTCTGGGCACATCTATATATGCAAATAATCCAGGAGCAATTTACTCTAAGGTACTCTAGAGTAAATTGTACTGGGCACACATCTACACATGCAGGGACATAGGAGCAGATTTGCTGCTCCTAACAGAAGACTGCTTCCATTCCCTGAGGCCCTGCACCTGGCCCCTGCAGCAGCCACAGGGAGCTCTAGACTCCCCCTGGGTGCAAGCCCAGGGGCTGGCAGGGAGCATGGGGCCACGAGACAACTGTCTCCTGGTGGGGGCTGAGACATTGCTCCCTGCCCCCAAGAGCTGCCGGTTGCCAGGGTGGGCTCCACCACTGGAGCCTAGTAAGGGACAATGTTCCCCTCTCTGGAAGTAATAAGCTCCCAGCCCCCACTCCGCAATCACAGGGCCAAGGCCAGGAGACCCTTATCTCCCATCCCCTGCTCCACAGTTGTGGCTCCCAGGCTGAAAGATCCATATCTCTCATCCCAAGCCCCCTGGTCATGGGGCCCAGCCTGGGCCCCACAACTACAGGGTTTGGGCTGGGAGATATGATCTCCCAGTCTGGGCCCCATGACTGTGTTGCAACTGTGGGGCTCCATAATCGTGGAGCAGGGGCTGGGAGCTCCCTGTTGCTGGGGCAGGAGGCATTGTCCTCACCTGGGCTCCAGTGGCAGGGAGCAATGTCCCAGACCCCTCAAGGACAGAGATGTCTCCTGGCTCCTGGGCTAAAACCCAGGGGGAAGCTAGAGCTCCCCCTGGCTGCTGCTAGGAGCAGCAAATCTGTTCCCATGTCCCTGCACTTGTAGACATGTGCCCAGGAGAGCTTACTCTAGAGTACTTTACTCTAGAGGAAACTGGTCCTGGCTATTTTCATGTGTAGACAGACCCAATGTGTGGGGAGAGTTAGACCCTTAAGAATGGGACACACAAAAGCCAGAAGATTGAGTGGATGGCTACCTAAGGCATCCAGCAGGAAATGCTAAGGAGGAATGTGTGCCTGCTTTCTTATCCCATCCTAAACATGTTACTCCAAGCTTCAGAGAAGCAACTTTCTCCATTAGCATTCACAACCCTCCACAAAAATGGCCTAAGGGGAGATGGCCTAAGAAGAGCCTGCCATGCCTGTGCTCCTATGTGCTTAATTTAAGCCCATGCTTAAATCCATTTCTATTGAGCAGAGTACTTAACCTCCTGCTAATTTGTTGCCACAGGATGTTTCAGAGGCAGATTTAACTAGATTTAACAAGAGATTAGACAAATTCATGAAGAACAGATCCATTGGGAGTGACTAAATAGAAAAACCAAGGATTTAGTCTTTGACATCTCTAAACCAATGTAGCCTGGGTACACCCAAGGGTGTGCCCTATTCTCAGTTGAATGGGATGGGTAGGCAGGAGGGGGTGCTGTCAGAGGGATGCCAGAAAGTCAAGCAGATCCCTCTTTCCTCTATAGAGTTAGCCCAAACCCAAAGTTCTTAACTATATACAACTGATTAAGTTATAATATACATAAACATACAACTAAATATCGTATACATATATTTACACAATGAACACTAACCAATAACCAAGGTCAAACCCTAAATAACACTATTTACAACATCGCAATACAACGTTTCAATTACAAAATATAAGGCTCAAACATGAACAATCTTAATAACATCTATTCCTTAATATAGTCCCTGACCCATGGCAAGAGATAGTCCTCCTTCCAATGGGGTCACTTGGGGGGTGTCCAGGAAGCACCAGGGGCCCCTCCCCTTAGGGCCTTGACTGGGGGGGGTGCTCACCCAGCCCCTTCTCTGGGTTTGCCTGCCCCAGATGTCTTTCCCCTGTGGGACCCAAGGGCCCAATGACTCATGCTTCCTCAGGTGGCGGTGGTCAGGGCGCAGCTTGATGGGGTCTCCTCTGCTGGAGCACCTCTTGAGGCCTCTCCTGTGCCACTGGGCTCCTCCCCACCCTGTGCCCCGCTCTGGCCACCAAGGGCTCAGCTCCTCTCAGCTGCTGCACTACCTCTGCTGGCTTCTGGGTGCTGGGCCTCACACTGCAGCACTACCATTTCCCCATGCCCTAGCTTGGCACTAAGGGCTCTCTTAGCACAGGCCGGGCCCTTCAGGCTCCAGCTGGCTGTCCTCACGCCAGGGTGGCTAACCCAAGCAGCCTCTGCTGCTCCCTGGGTCCCAAGGCTCAGACCCGTCCACCGCCCTGCACACGATGGGACCTGCCTGCTTGCCAGGAGATGGGGCCTGAGCTGCCTTACTGCTGCCCCAAGGCCTTTGCCCCATGCATTGCCCCACGCCCTGAGTGGCCTGGGGTTGCAGGCTTGAGCTGCCACTTGTGGCTCCCAAAGCCTGGGCTCTGTGCACTGAACTGTGCACTGTGATGGGCCCGAGCCATCTCACACCGCTCCCAGGGCCGGGTCTCTGTGCACCATCCCTGTGTGCTGTCAACAGCCTGAGTGGTCTCCCATTGCTCCCAAAGCTGTTCCTCCAGTGGCAGCTTCAGGAACCTTGGGCCTATTGCCTGCTGGGGGAGAGCTCCCCCACTTTTCTTGGTTCCGCTCTTCTTGAGTCCCTCGCTGCATCTGCCCTTTGTGCTGGGCATGCTGCTCCTTTTATATGCTCCAGGGATCCTCCCCTGAAGTCTTTCAGACCTGACAGTTTACATTCTTCGGTCAGGTTCGGGGGAGCTCTTCTCCCCCTCCCCTTAGGAAAGGGGCATGACTTTATTTCTGGATGGGCTCCACCAATAAAAACAGCAGGATGTCAAGCTGGAACTCAACCCAAGCTCTGAAAGGTAAGCTTGCTACACCAATGATGGCCAGGGAGAGTGTATCAGGGATGGACATGGAAACAGAAATCATAGAAAACTGGAGTTGCAAGGGACCTCAGGAGGTCATCTAGTCCAACCTCCTGCTCAAAGCAGGACCATCCAAATATGTAATCCCAGCTAAGGCTTTGTCTAGCTGGGCCTTAAAAAACTCCAAGGATGGAGATTCCACCACCTCTCTGAGTAACATGTTCCAGTGTTTTACTACCCTCATGGTGAGAAAGCTTTTTCTAATATCTAACCTAAACTTCCCTCGCTGCAACTTAAGACCTCTGCTCCTTGTTCTGTCATTTGCCACCACTAAGAACAGTCTAGCTTTATCCTCTTTGGAACCATCACTCAAATAGTTGAAGGCTGCTGTTAAATCCCACCTCAGCCTTATCTTCTCTAAACTAAATAAGTT